GGCCTTAGTGATAGAAAAAAAAAAAAAAAAAAAAAAAAAAAAAAAAAAAAAAAATATATATATATATATATATATATATATATATATATATATATATATATATAGTTCGCAGCCACCTACTGTCCGGTTTTCGGATTTTTCGATAGGTTATGTTTGTTCTTGATTTCTATATTGCTTTTAATTAATAAGCTTGCGGAACATACAAATATATACGCAGAGTGTGCAAAAATTATACTCAGGTAAAATGAGCGGTAGCCTACTTCAATATATACTTCTCAAAAAAATAAAGGGAACACTCAAATAACACATCCTAGATCTGAATGAATGAAATATTCTCATTGAATACTTTGTTCTGTACAAAGCTGAATGTGCACTGCTGACAACAAAATCACACAAAAATCATCAATGGAAATCAAATTTATTAACCAATGGAGGCCTGGATTTGGAGCCACACACAAAATTAAAGTGAAATGTTCCCTTTATTTTTTTGAGCAGTATATTTATACTCAAGTAAAAGTAAAATGTAGCCCTCCAAGAAATGACTCAAGTAAGAGTGGAAAAGTATTTGTTAAGAAAAAAAAAATAATCTAATTATCATTTAACATTTAAAAAGTACATAGTCAAGCATACCAAAATGTAAAGTTTGAATTTTTCACCATTTTAAAGGTGAAAATGATAATAATTCATATAAGTAACAAAATGAATAAATAAAAAAATCAGGCAAAGGAAAATTCACAAAGTACTTGTTGATTAAAAATCTGGAAGAACATCCACTCTTCAATTTGTAAGCTTAAATGCACCTGGGTTATGCAGCGAGATAATGACCCGAAGCACATTTCCACTTCTCAATGACCCGAAAAAGTACAAAATGAAGGTTTTGGAGTTGTCTTGTCAAAGTCTAGAGTTAAAGCTGATTGAGGTGATGTGGTATGCACTCAAACTGGCTGTTTGAGCTTGAAAACCATAAAATGTGGCCAATTTAAAGCAAATCAGCAAAGAAGAGAAGATCAAACATCCTTGACAGCAACATAAAAGTCTGATTGGCAATTAGTCAAAGTGCTTGATGGTAGTTATTAAGGCTAAGCAACCAAAGCAACCAAAGCAACCATACTTTTTACATTTTTTTTGGTTTGGATAGGTTTTTTTTTTTTACCTTTTGATAAACAAAATCTGTGGAACTGTTGTTTTTGTTTTATTTACTCAGATAACGGCTGATGTAAAAATCTGTGTTGATCTGAAACACTTAATTCAGACAAAAAAATAAAAAACAAAAATCTGCAAGAGGGCAAACATTTTATTTTTATTTTTGGCACTACAGGCAATTGATGGGCATTCTGTGATAACGGAGTTAATTGTAATGGTTCAGTTCTATTAGTTGGACATTTAGTATTAAAAAAAATAAAATAAAGGTTTTACAAGATTTTAGAAACATTTCCTGTTTGGTATAGATTAATCCAGTTTATATTTGACTCATCTAGATGTTTGAGAGAAATCCAAACATTCAAAAGTCCTTTAAAAACGGAGCAATAGCCCTTTAATTTAGCATCAGAACTCTGCATTGACTCCATTCACCACCACTAGTGCTTGGTTATATTTTGTCGGTGTCTCCATTGTGTTTGGGAGTACCAAACTCCCACCTATTGGACATGAACATAAGCAACAGAAAACCCGGTGGAGTTGAAATTATCCAGGTCTGAACCCGACCCAGAACATCTTCTTAGGTCCAAATTTAATGTTCTTTAGCCAGAAGTACCTAAAGAGTTGGAAGAAGTTGCTCTTGTCATGTTCAGAATTACATGAAAGCCTCTTCCTTTGTATGAGAGGCAGCCACGCTCCTGGGTTGGACCAGGAAGCTTCACAGCACTAAATTTGTCTCCTTTGCATAAATGATTTCCAGGATGTTCCAAACAATCGGAAAAAAATGTGATCTCATCGGCTCATCTGTACTCCTTCATTATTTTTGGTGCTTCTTTGTTGTCTTAAGCTTGTGTAAAATTCTTTACCACAGCAGAAACAGATGCACTCACACCCACTTGCTTCCAGTGTTGAACAAGCTCTACAGCGGTGGCTACACGAATCCTCCAGACATCAGAAATGGATCATTATGGCGGCTCACATTCTTGGATTTTATTAGGCCTTCTTCACAGCAGCTGAACAGACGTCCCTAAAGTTTTTGAGGGAAAGCTGATCCTTCAGGTTCACTTCTTCACACTCAAAGCCATTTTGGCCGTAAAAAACAGTTTTTCTATAGCTAGCTATTGCTAACTCAAAACAAGTCAGTTCATTTTGACTGAAACTGTAGTTTCATTTTTATAATCAGAGCAACAATATAATGGAAGTGGGGTTTTATTACCAATATTTTCTTTTTAAGATATAAAACAAAATATGCAAATTAGCACACAAAAAACCCCTGAAGCGACAGAATTTAAATGTTAATCACTTCCTGAGTTGTTCATGTTTAAGGAACAGTCATATAATCTGAAAATGTTTTCCTCTAAACCCTCACTGTATTATTTCATTTTTCATCCCACTGTGGACTGAATGGATTTTTTCCTCTAGTATTACACAACATTATTGATAAAAAAAAAACTGCATTTCTATGCTGGCATAGACTGGTTACAACTAATCTAAGCTTTATTTCTTTACTAGGAGCTGCTTAATGAGCAGACATAATAAAGATGACATGACTGAAATCCACAGCTACAGCCTCCAATTTAAAGTTTTTCCATTATAATGAATCATGAAATTAAAACTCACTGAAGGTTACGTTTTAATATGCTGATCTTTAGATTCACAGGATCAATATTTGCACCAGACTTATGCTCTCGACAGCAACCTTTTCTTTTTACCCATTTGACTGCAAAATTATAGAAATTAACAGATGAAAGCTTTAGTCCAACATGATTCATTTATCTGAAATGCCCCTATTATATTTATTCAAGTCTATTTTGGTCCTGCTGACTATTTTGAAATTATGAGAACTGAAGAGAAATAAGTGAATAAACAGAAACTCTGACAAAGAACAGAACAACAAGCACAGTTTAACCAATAGTATTTAATGGTTTATGCAACTGTTTGCTAAGGCCCAATCTCCCCCCAACAATACTATTAGATAAACCAGTCCCTTGCATTTTATTGGCCAAAAATAAATTCAAACATACCTAAATAAATATGTGTTTATGAAAAAAAAAAAAAAAAAAAAAAAAGGGAGCAAAGGGGGGGGGGGGTTGGGGTTGCCCAAAAAAGAAAAAAATTTAATAAAAGGCAA